GCATCTGAGGAGGAGGAGTTCTGTTTATAGACAGGCATCTGAGGAGGAGGAGTCCTGTTTATAGACAGGCATCTGAGGAGGAGGAGTTCTGTTTAGAGACAGGCATCTGAGGAAGGTGAGTCCTATTTAGAGACAGGCATCTGAGGAGGGGGGTCCTGTTTACAGACAGGCAAGGGAGTCATGAGATGTGTGCATTGAGGGCACAGTAGAATTACTCTGTATCCTAGAGAAGGACCTACTGCATACCATTGTGAGGCTAGCCATGGGGAAAGGGCAAGAGAAACAAGCTGCTGGGTCTTCTTAGAGAAACAATTGTGGACAAGGAGATGTGAAAAATATAATTCTTTTCTAAAATTTCTTCAACTTGACCCATGGCTGTTGAGTCAGAACTCCTAACTGACACTCCGTTGGGTTTCTGAGGCTATAAATCCCGTGGTAGAGGGTTGTCCATCTTTTTCCCCATGGAGCTGATGGTGGATTTGAACTGCTAGAGATGAATGGTTTTGGGTTAGCAGGACAACTCCTCATGATCTAGGCCAACAGAGCTCCCTAAAGTCTACACCACACATTCAGACTTTTGTGCAAATAGATTTTATGTGTGGAACTCAGAGGTGGGTGATGAGAGATGGGGCGAAAAGATCAAATGGGAGTAGCCGGAAGGTTTAGGTGATGAAACAGACAGGGAGGGGTGAAGCAATCTGTTCCAGGCTACACTAATGGTGAATCAGGATGAAAACCCAGGGCAGTTGAACTTGAGTTTGCAACCACTGCCACCAAGTGCTTGGAGAGGGAGGTTTGGGGTGGGGTCCAGGAGGAAGAGAAAGAGGAAGAAAGCGGCAGGGAAGCTGGAGGTGGTGAGCTTTCACCCAGCAGCAGCCTAGTGGAGGGGAAGCCACCACACCAGAAACGGGTTGTTTCAGGCCTTAGCCCGGGCTCTCTCTGAGCTTGGATAAATAAGCTGTCCTCAAATCCTTCTGTAGTAGGAGAAGTGGCCACTTGATGCTGGAACAAGAAGAGGAAGAGGCAAGGGTGTAGCCAAGATTTGCAGTCTGGTTGACTCAGGATGGCATTTACTGAAATAAGAGAAGCCTGAAAGCTGACAAATAAACCTAGCCTCTTCTTGAGACCCCATGCGAATTACAGGGTTATCCCTGGAAATTTCTGCACTACCCTGACCCCAAGGCGCCCCAGAACCCACAAGAAAATGGGCTGAGCTCTCCCTGGGCAGCATCATGCCTTACCTGGCTCCCATCAGGGTTAAGTTTCTCAAAGTGTGAATGGATGGAGAACAATCTTAGCATCAGAAGGATGCCGAGGATCATTTATTGGTCTACTGATCCTACCACCCCATCCTGGCCCCAACTCGCCTCCTTGGCAGCTTCTCCAGCCCAGGTCTACACAAAGGTACATACTTACCGTGTTCACTCCTGTCAGCATGGAAACTTAAAGCTGTTCTCCTTTGTACTTTACAGGGCATCAAGACCTTCAGCACCTTGGTGGAGGTGGGCCAGCTGGGGGACTCCAGGTTGGGGGCACTTGGAGATCCTAAGAATGCAGAAGGGTCTGAAAACAGAAAAGGAGTGAGCTTGTGGAAGGATCAGGAAACAGTAACTGAGACTGGGTTTTGTTTCTGATTGATCTTCTGGCTCCCTAAGGAAGGGTCAGGAAGAAATCATGAAGCCTCTGTAACCTTCTCACAAAGCCTCAGTAGACTCATCTGAGAAATGAAGCCTTCACAGACACTCCTGGGCAAAAATGGTCAGGTGTGGAATCCAGGAAATATGTGCCTCTGTGTTGGTGCTGGTCCTTGGGTGATGCAAAATATTTGTGTTCAACTACTGGTTGAAAAGTCACCAGTTTGAACTAATCCTCAAGCTGAAAGGCCTATAAAACCTAGACCCTATGCAAGGATAACATGCACATTTGTGAAGTATTCTATATTTTTATTCTTGTTTGCTTAGTTCTTATAAGTGCAGCACTTGTCTGTCAGTTTACTGCACTAGGGTAACTTGTGGGTTGCTGTGGAAGCTATGTTACTGGTATTTTAAATGCTTGTAGGGTCACACCCATGGTGGATGGGTTTCAGCAGAGTACCCAGGTTAAGACAAGACTAGGAAGCAGGATTGGCCATCCACTTCTGAAAAAAAAAACAAACCCCAGCCTTTGAAAACCCTATGAATAATAGAGAAACATGGGTAGTTATAGTACTAGAGGTAGAGCCCAGATGGGAAGTCACTAAAAAATGAGGAGAAATAACTGCAAACATCCACTAATGATTGGAATGTGGAATGTGTGAAGTATTCAAGGCAAACTGATACAGTTACTATGGCAATGGGCTCAAATGTATTGAAGAGGATTAGGATGGCATGGGGTAGGACAAGGTTCTGATCTATTGCAATGGGTCGCTATGCTGGCATGTATCAATAACAACATCACAATTATCTTTACATTTCTTTCACAGCTAGGAATGAAACCGTCAACAGCCAATAGAAAAAAATAGCTCACTGGCTCACTGCCGCCTCCAGTTGAATTGGTTCTCAGGATCATTTGCCCTATCTGCTCTTTGACTTTAAAAAATAAACAACCCCAAACCAAAACACCTCAAACTCATTGCTATTATTTTGGGAATGGATACATAGTTGACTCTCCAGCAGGTTTTCAAAAGCTATAAATCTCCTAGGAGGAGATTGCCCATCTTTCCTCTATGGAACAGCTGGTGGACTTGAATCACGTGGTGGACTTGAACCACATGGCTTTTAGGTTAGCAGTGCAATGCTCTGTGGATTAGGTCTCAGTGCTCGATGCCTTAGAGAGGCTATGGGAGAGAGTCACCCAAACTCAAACGTGCTGGCTATCGACTTGGTTCTGAACTGCAGTTATCTTAGGAGGAGAGCACTTGCTCATGCCATGTTTCCCCTTTGGAGCTGCTGGTGGATTTGAACCACTAGAGGCTTGGTCTTTTAGGTTGGCAGCACAACTCACTATGGACTACCAGCACAGCCTCCTTCTGGTAAAGCTTACGGTCAAGAAAACCTTGTGGACAAAACAACTATGAGATATCATCTCACCCCAGTCAGAATAGCAAAATTTAACAGAACAGCAAGCAACAAATGCTGGCGAGGTTGTGGAGAAACTGGAACCCTTATTCACTGTTGGTGGGAATGTAAAATGGTGCAACCACTGTGGAAGGCAGTATGGGGATTTCTCAAAAAGTTGCAAATAGAGATACCATTTGACCCAGCAATTCCACTACTGGGAATATATCACAAAGAGACCAAAGCTGTCATCCAAGCAGATATATGCACACCCATGTTTATCGCAGCTCTGTTCACAATAGCAAGGAGTTGGAAACAACCTAGGTGCCCATCAACAAACGATTGGGTAGAGAAGCTGTGGTATATTCACACAACGGAATACTATGCTGCATTGAAAAACAAGGAACTCATTCAATATTATCCAAAATGGGTGAGCCTGAAGGACATTATGCCGAGTGAAATATCTCAGTCGCAAAAGGACAAATATTGCATGGTGCCACTGCTGTAAAATGGGACTGATATCAGGGTTGGGGTAAGACTGAGAAAAACTGGATAAATTGTGTGTATTGCACTGAAACAGATGAGGGACTGAATAATTTAAAAGCGATGTATGATAGGGTATTATGGTTATCAGAAGAGTCCACAATTAAGGTTGCATAGTGGAATGTACTTGGGGTGGTGGGAGAGGTGCGGGGGGATTGTGTACCAGGAAGGGAGACTTTCTTTTACTTTTGAAAGAGAGGAGCGAACTGGGGGGTAGGGGGAGAGGGCTGGGCGGGGAGAGAAGTGCAGCAATGAATGAATGGAAATCCAAATTCTCTGTAAATGTTCATTAAAATTATTAAAAAAAAAAGAATGTAAAGGTCAAGGAAAAATTATGTCAACTGTTGTATTTGCTTAATTTTGAGAGAATGTAATAACAAGATATTAAAAAAAAAGAAAACCTTGTGGAGCTCAGTTCTCTTTTAAATTTTTTAAATTCATTTTTATTTTGTATTGGTTTGCATACAAAATTCGTACAAAATATGTTTCATTCATATACATTGTGTTTCACATACTTCTTGCTCACATTGTGTTTAATACACCCAATTCCATACACTGTGTTCTATAAAAATAATCACCATTGATCTATGCCCATTATTACCCCATCTTTTCCGGTCCCCGCTGAATTTTTTCTAATTCCTTTGCCTCTTCTCTCTACCTATCAAACTGTGACCCCATGATTTCCTCTTCTCTCCACCCTCAGCCTACCTTCTGCCCTTCCCCCTTCAGGCCCTTGTACACATCCTGCTAGTCATTCTTCTATTTATACAATCCTGGTCTTATGCAATATTTTTTCCTTAGGAGACTGAATTAGATCAGTCAGCGTAATGTTTTTTAGCCTCTTCCACGTTATATAGTATTTTTCAAAACTATTGCACCTGAGTGCTGCATAGTGTTCCATCGTGTGAATTTACCACAATTTCTCAGTCATTTGTTGATGAACATTTGGGCTGTTTCCATGCTATTGCTATTGTGAATAATGGCTCAGTTCTATTCCACAGCACACGGGGCTGTGTGAGCCCAAGTGGACTTGGTGGCAGTGGGTTTCATTGTCCCAGTTCTGACTCCCCTCTGACCCCCGTGTCAGCCACCCCTTCTCTCTGAGCCTCAATGCTCTCTATGGGGCTCAAAGCCTCTCTCTCTCAGGTTGCTAACCCCTTAGCAATAATGAAAAAAGCAGGAACAGCAGCAGCAACAACAATAATGATCACCAGGACTCTTGTTTATTGAATACTCACTATGGACTAGACTCTGTGCCAGATGTTTAATACAGACTATCATTTGAACCCCTACCTGGTGCTATGATTAATGCTCCCATTCTACAGATGGAGAAGGGGAGTCAGAGAGTGGCAGAGTGACTTGCTCAATGGGGATGACCATAAAAGCAATTCAACCAAGACTGTAACCTGGTCCTGCTGGATTCACAGATTCTCAGTCTTATAATTACAATCCCCTCCAGGATTGGCCATGAAGCACATATTATCCCTCTGAGCACCCTTCAGAATGTAAGTTTCTTCCCTCCTTGGCCTCTGAGGGCTCTCTCCCAGGCTCCATAGGTTAGAAGAGGTGTGTCTCTGGGGTCTAGCAAGAGACACTCAGCAAGAGACTCTAGCGTAGTCTCTGTCCCTGTCTCCCATCCCTGGCCAGAGAAAGTCCTGGTGGGATGGACTCAGTGGGGAGAGGTGAGGACTTTGAATCCCCATTGGCACTCACCTGACATCAAGTGGGCCTCTGTGTTCTGGGAACATAGCCCACCCAGGCCCATCTTCTTCCAGGTGCGGAGGGCCAGGTCCCAGGCCTGCTGCTCCCCGTATTGAGCCACCAGGTGTGAGGCCACCTCCACGCCTCTCATCTCTGGCTGAGCAGGGAAGGCACCCGGAGCGCCCCCATAAGGGGCCTCCTTGGACAGCTGCAGCTGGAACTCCTTCAGCTCCTCTTTACTCAGTTTCTCCAAGCACTCGACCAGCTGCTGTGTCTGGGCTCTGCAGGCCATCTTCCCAGGAGGGCCTTGGGGGTGCCTAGGGGTGGGTGACAGGTGACAGGCAGGCAGAGAACAGTGTCCTGTCTTCCAGGCGTTTACCTCCCAGTGGAAGACTCTCCCCTAAATCCAGAACTTCTGTGGAGCACCTGGAAGCCTCAGTTTTGTAAACTCCAGTGCAACTGCAAATAAATGTATTGAGGCAAGGAAAGGAGGGAAGGGAAGGTGACGGGTAGGGAAAAAAAAATCCACAGCTGGGAGGAGCTAAGAGGGGACTGGGAGTTGCCAAAAGGGGGCAGGCTGTGACAGGCACCACTGGAGGTGGGCCAAGGCCATACAAGG